GGTGGAGGAATGAGGTGATATCTCGGTGACGCCACTGGAGTCTCTTAATCTTGAATATGCGACCTTGGGAACCGATCTCCCCCTCAGACTCTTCGCTAGACATACCACTTGGACCCAAATCCCTGACCATATTAATGACATCTTCGGAGAATCTATGATGCTCGAGTAGCTGCAGCCTTCGATTCCAAAGCTAGCTCATGGTGAGACAGTAAATGACCTATTTTCATTCAAGCTTACTTGTGTCTGTCTACCGGAAGAACGCGAGCGCCGATTCGCAGCCTCCCGTTCTTCCTCTGCGGCCTCAGGATCATCCATCGCCTTCTTATATTTGCGTTTCAAGCCAATGATGTATGTAGCAAAGAATACTTTGATGTCTTGTCTATTAATTTCATCCATCTGAAGAAGGGGGAACGCCCCAGCTTCAAACCGGGCGCAAAAGTCATCAGCAAATATGCTAATGCAGTCTTTGGTCCACTGAGTGCGACCAATCGTTCCCCAGTCTATGGCAAGGTCTTCCTCAGTTGGACCTTGACTGTGTGGCAATTTCGAGTTATAGCTCTGGACAGCAGAAGGATCCGGAACTGGCCAATCTTCCATAGGGATTTTGGGGCTGATACCAAGACGCTCTCGTGCATATTCGCGCATCGTTTTCTTGAGGAGATAAACTTGAGATCAAAGCCTGCACACGACAGAAAATCCAACGTACTTTGATTGATTTAATCTCGGAAGATGCTCCGGTGGAGCCGAAAACTGATGTGCTCTCCATATCCGTGTCCCCATCAGTCGAAATTTGATCGTCAAACGCAATTGCTTTCCTCCTCTGTCTAGGGCGCATTTTGCGGTTTTCTACTTCCATTTGAAGCCTTTCAAATCTTTCAATCAACTGCTGTAGAGTGTTGGTAATGCGCTCAATTGGCCCGGTGCTGACAGAGTTGTCGTTATCTTCGACCTCCGCCATATCCACTTCGCCATTATTGGCGAAAATAAATGATTCTTCAGATTCCTATATGATCATTTGAGCAGAATGAGTAAATATGTCCAAAGTCGATCGAAATGGCCTTACTGGCTCTGAGCCCACGGTGGCATCCTCGAACGGCATCTTAATGATGCGAGCAGGTCTTGAGTGGCATTTTCTCTCGGTTATATAGGATTTTCCGTGGCGATAGCGGCGCCAGGGTATTAATGTGGCATGTCGTGGCAAACCGTGCGAGCGAGAGTTCTCAGCGCCGGACGCACCACTGAGACGCACCACTGAGACGCACCACTGAGGCGCACCACTGAGACGCGCCACTTGATGGGCGACTCATGGCCTCAGCCACCGTACCAGCCTTTCAGCTCTTATGTGCCATTGATCTGTAATGTCATCAGGACCACTTAATAGCCGGTTTTCCGAATCCATTCCAACTCATCGCCCTTGAGATTCTGATATCTCTTGCCTCCCTCATTTCCTATCCACCTG